TTTATATTTGTTTACTAGGTGTCCAACGTGTTAAAATATAAACATCATTATCATCAATATAATCATGTACATAGACATATATGCGATAATATCAATCATTATTGAAAAGTCTACTATATTCCATTATAATATCAATTGTATAACCATCAAAATATTTACTAATTTTCTTCCATTATAATATCAATTATATAACCATCAAAATATTTACTAATTTTCTTCCATTATAATATCAATTATATAACCATCAAAATATTTACTAATTTTCTTCCATTATTAATATCAATTATATAACCATCAAAAATATTTATTAATCATTTTTTCTTTCTCACGTAGTCTGTGGTCTCAGATTGGACTGCTATTTGTCAGAAATGGTGTAGGGTCTCTCACTTGGGCGGGGAGGGGGGTTGGACTAGATGACCTACAAGCTCCCTTCCAAACTCTGATTATTTGTAAATCTGTAATTTCACATAAATCCACTCGTCTGACTTCTGTATCTGTCAGCTAACCATCTGTAGAAAAATTCCCACGTCACAAAATATTCCGAATCTTCTTTTTCTTTGATTTTTTTAAGGTTAACCTAGCCATTTCTGCGCATTCCAGAATTTTATTTTATTTTGTATTATATTATATCATCTGTAGGGGTTTCTATGTTTTTCCAGTATTGGGTGTTATATAATCCTGGCTTCTGTTAGAGAAGTCAGCGGAGAATGCTAAATAAATAAAACATCAAGCAAACCAGTAAACAAACAAGAGGCAGAGAATCAGAATCGGTTGAAGGATTTAGCACCGCTTTGTAAAGCCTTAGTAAGGCCACACCTGGAATCCTGCATCCAGTTTTGGTCACCGTGTTACAAAAAAAAGAGGTTGAGGCTTTTGGAAAGAGCGCAGAGAAGAGCAACTAAGAGGATAACAAAATAACAGAATGGCAGAGTTGGAAGGGATCTTGGAGGTCATCTAGTCCAACCCCTGCTGCTCAGAATAACAGGAATTAAAAGCCTGGAGTCTAAAACATAGGAAGAACCGTGGCAGGAATTGGATACGTTTTAGTTCAATAAAAAGAAGGACTGGGGGGGACATAATAGTAGTTGTCCCATATTTGAGGGGCTGCCCCGAAGAAGAGGGGGAGGTCAAATTATTCTCCTGAAGACAAGAAACAACGGATGGAAACTAACCAAGGAGAGAAGCAACCTGGAATTAAGGAGAAAATTTCCTAACAGGGAGGACAATTAGCCAGGGGAACTGCTTGCCACAGAAGGTGTGCGTGCTTCATCCCTGGAGGCTTTTAAGGAGACAGAACAGCCACTTGTCTGAAATGAAATAGGGTCACCTGCTAGAGCAGGGGGTTGGGCTAGATGACCTCTGAAGTCCCCTCCGACTCTGTTAATTCTGTCACGGCCTCC